TTTGATTGGATTATGGCATAATTTTATCTCTAAGATATAGCGAAGGCCGTGTTCCTTTACAAATGAATTAAATTAGAGGAGAGCAAAATAAAAATTAAAGATTTATTGTCAGACAGGGTGAGCTTAAGATTGAAATGTGGAGCCTCAGAACAACTAATATGTCCTGTTCCCAGCCCTGAATGCAAACCCGGAGTCCATGGGGGCCAGGAAAGAACAGATTGCAGCTCCTCACTCCCGAGATACTGATTTCATTGTTCATCAGGGTGGTTCAGTATTCTTTAAACCCTCCCAAGTGATCTTAACGTGGAAGTCAGGTTTGAACTATTGAAATAGATAAAAATCCAAGCTATTTAAAGAGAATTTCTCCTAATAGACAAAAGTACTTTTCTAAATAGCCCTTGGACAACAGGAGACATTAGAATAATAAAGGAGATAAATTTTTTAGTATAAACTGATCAGAGGGTTTTTGTTTTTGTGTTTGTTTTGAGACAAGGTCTCACTCTGAAATCAGGCTGAACTTAGACTCACTGTGTTGCCCAGCCTGGCTTTGAACAAATGGCATGCCTCCTGCCTTAGCCTCTTGAGTGCTGAGATTTCAAGTGTGTGCTGCCTAATCTGGCAGCAGAGGTTCACAATTCTGAAATAAAAAGGCTCTGGAAAACAAGGATTTTATACTTGGTGGCAAAATCTAACCAAAATTGAACATTTTTGGTATTAAACCCTGGCACTTTTTCTAGTCTTCCTTTGTCCCATTTGGTGCAAATAATCACATGTTTCATCACAGAAATATTAATGTGTCTGACAAGTTGCTGCTCTGGATTTCATTGAGGGTATGTTTTAGAGAGGATAACTTTGTAAAATGTATACAGTATTGAATTCTGAAATACAGTTAGCTCAATAGGGTTAAGAAAAGAGTTATGGATCATAGTAGAAGATTACTATGGATTACTATTACTAAAAGGAAAGACCAACATAATAATTTAGGTTTCTTCTAATTACTGAGGCACTGGTTCAGCTTTCACATTATATAAAAAAACAGTAGTCCATGTCAGAATGTGGTTTGTGGCTTTCACACGACTTCTCAAGCCCCCCCCCCCCCCGCCCCAGAAGAGGGTCCTGTTGTCTGCATGGTGAGAGGATCTAAGTTTGATTCACAATTGAAGTAGGTGTAGAAGAAAGTGACCCATGTCCTGTGAGACTCCTCAGCCCTGCAGCGGTGTGGGAGTGTCTCACTGTGAGGTTCTTGCTCAAGGTCTCTTAGAAAGTGAAGTTCAGAACTTAGCTGGCTCCTCATCCTCTGCATGAAGGTTTGACAGTGTTGGAGGGTAGCATTTCTCTCCCAGTGCCCACAGGTCCCTCGGCCAGAAAATTCTAGCTTCTGTTTAGGCAGTGGCTCAAAGACTTTGTTTTTTCAATGTAAACCCCACAATTTTTGTAAAGGGGACTTTGAGTCCTTCTAACATGTTTTGAAGATATCTAATGGGAATAGCTTAGGGCAGGGGATTGTCTGCTCTTTACAAGTTTCTTGTCCTCTCTACTTTGAGCCACTTCACTTCCTTAGGTCCTTTCTATATTTTCTTAAGCATTGTCTGTGTATCTATGTGATGTGAGTCACTGAACAAGTGTCGATTGCTATGGAAAATATTGCTCAATGATCTTCCAGCACCAGAGACAGACATCAGCCACAAAATCTAAAGTGATTATGTGATTGCCGTGTGTTAAAGATCTGAGAAGATGCTATGTGAGCATATAAGAGGCGTGTGCACACACCAAGGCGTGCTCGACCGATGCTTTCCCTCTTGTGCTTTATAGGAAGAACAGTGTAGCTGTGTTGTTGGTATTGTACACTGCTGGGAATCAACCCAGGGCTTCACCCTGCTAGCAAGTGCTCTACACTAAGCTACAGCCCCAGGTCCCTTTGGGTTTTCTTATTAAAAATCTTTTCCATCCTGGAGAAGAAATATGGAAGCTATATATATCAGTGTTTTACTAGAGAAACAGATATAACCCAAGATATACAAATGTGTAAGAATTTACAAGATTGGCTTATAATGGCCACCCACAGACAGAGTCAGACGAGGGAGCATGCAGAGGGTGTCTGCACCCTGGAGAGTGAAGGATTCAGGCCCAAGTCTGGAGCTTGCCGCAGTGTCCCATGCAAGTCTGTATCAGGAGACAGATGAGTCTGATGGAAGGCTGAAGAGTCTGTCATGGAAGACAGAAGATGATATCTAAGGTGAAACTGGAGCTCCTCCAAAGAGACGGAAACAGATTTATCCTTTCTGATTATTTCCCCTTTGTACCATCCAGACCACAAACTCCCCTGGTGGGGGGGGGGTGTCTTCTACATCCTGCTGTGTAAATTGCTGAGCTGATATACTTAAGCGTCTGTTACCCAAACTTCATCACTATGACTACATCCCACCTGGCATAAAACATACCCTCCCACTATAGAGGCAAAGAAGAGACAGTGTGTATAGGAATCTCATTTATTTTAGGTGGAAAAAAAGTTTAGGTTCTTTCAAAACTAAATGTAGATTTGTTCTTGCCTTTCTCACTGCATGTCTCTCACTTTTGTGGTACCTCGAAATGCTCTGTTGTTTTCTTCCTCATCTCATTCCTCCTTTCTTTCTGCATCAAGTTGTCAAAAAGATACAGTGTTAAGGACATACTTTCCTATTTGTCAACTCTATATTTTGAGCTTTAGTTCTAATTAGTGAAGGAAACACTTAGATCCTGTTGAAGGAATTCACATGTGAAAAACTGAAATAGAAGAGTGAAGAAGACTTTTTTGTTTGTTTTTGCCTTTTTTTTTTTTTTTTTTTTTATTGGTACCAGGGATTGAACTCACGACTGCCTGCTTACAAGGCAGGTGCTTATGCCGTTGAGTTAAATCCCCAGCCCTGTTTTTGCCTTTTTGAGACAGGGTCTCACTAGGCAATTCAGGCTGGCCTTGAGCTCACTTTGTGGCTCAGGCTGGTATTGAACTTGCAACGATCCTCCTGCCTCAGCCTCCTGAGTGCTGGGATTACAGGAGAATGCTTGTGTTTGATTCTCTGTGAACAAAGAAGTAATCCACTTCATTTTCCATCCACTTTCATTTTCATGCATCATTTTCCATCTCTGTTGTCACAGTGGATTCTTCCCTGCGAGATCAGGGAATGGGAAGCCATTGGCAGGGTCCCAATGAATGTTCAGAATCTTCATCTTTGTCTTACACCCAGGTATCTTACACCCAAGTAGCTCAAAATATAAAGTAGGCAATGACTGATATTTTAATTTTGTTGCTTTTTTTAAATTTATCTCCACATGTTTATAAAGGTTTTGTGTGGTCCTGCATCTCTTTTGTGCCTGCCAGTTGCTTTCCCCACCCACTAATCATGAGCATTTTTAGAGTCAAGCTCTCAAGGTTGGGAACAGGGGATGACTGCCTTCTTGCTGTTGTTCTGACTGTCCTGAGAGAGTCCTCGGGCACTGAAGAATCAGCTAAGTGGAGAGTGTATGCTTTTGAATGGCATTTGCACCAGCCTACAGGGGAAAGCAGGGCAAAGACAACAGCCTCAGGCAAGCCGCCTTCCTCAGGGTAGGAGGAAGCTGGCCACTGGGAAGGCTTCAGGAGTGCAGTCTCCAGGGGCGCTAGCACATTGCTGCTCCTGCCTTCCAGTAAATGAATGTAAATTAAATTAATTTGAATAGCAAATCTGCAGCTTAACCTTGAACTCCCATGTTCTCCCTTTAAAGTGTCATTACTGTAATATATTCAGCTGATCCCAATCTCCACCATTAGCACCTTCAAACACCCAAATACACACAGGCATGTACACACACACACACACACACACACACACACACACACACACTTCTAATACTGTCCCAAAGGGGAAAGAGCTTGGTCGTTAAGGAAATTCTACTTGGTACAAGCATAGATTTCCCAAAGATTACTTTACTGTTATCATTGAAAGTGAGTGTGGTTTAAATTTTTGTCCCTTTACTGTTCTTCAGACTGCTTTTAAAGAAGGATTTTTAAGCATTCACAGTGGGGAAGACAAGAGGGCATGGAAGTGCTAAAACTTTTGGAAGATAAATAAGTTCTGAGACACTTAGGATTTTAAAGGTCATCTTGCCTTTTCCTCTCTTAGTCACTCTGTCTCCACATAGACAATATATCTGATACCCACAACTTCAAGGAGGACAGGTTTATTTTGGCTTACAAGTTGGTCCACAATGAGCTGGCTCTAAGACAGCACAGCACAGCAGAAGGGCATAGGTGAGGGAAGAAAAGCCGCTCATATCATTGTGGTCAGGAAACAGAGCCGGGAGAAGCAGGGAAGGAGATACGCCCTTCCAGGTCACACCCCCCAGCCACCAGCTTCTTTACACCAGACCCCACCCCTTGCCAGCAAGTCAGCTACATCGCCCCTCAAATCCAGCACAGAGCCCCAAAGCATAGGAGGCTCTTGGGGGATGTTCTCCATCTCAACCCCCGCAATTCACAGTTCACCTGCCTTACAAATCACAGTTGCTTTAGGTGGCATAGTATCCAAAGTGACTTTTGTAAATGTGACACTGAGTCTGAACAGAGAACCGGTTAAAACAGAAGCACCTATCTCAATATTTCTAGAATTTCCACATGAGCTGGTACCTTTCAGTGACAAATACTGTTTAGTGCCATTGTTATAGTACCACGTATATTTTAGGAACTTAATTAGTATTTCTGTATTACATTGTAATGTTTTTGAAGTGCTAATCCTGGCATGTATCCCAATATTTCACAATATACACATTAAGCCAACTACCTTTTAAAAATTTAGTGACTATGATTTTTCTGAATTTTTGGCCTGAAAATTCCTATGCAAAAGTTTTTCTACTACAGAACAAAACAAGGGTGCCAGTAAATTTAGCGGCAGCTCTTAAGTGGGTTGTATGTCTAAACCAAAGTACTACTTCGGTGGCTACCTTTTTCTTCTTCTAATTTGATTTTTCCTCTAATTTTTTATTAGGTGCAGAGAGAGCTAGCAGCTGTTATCGCTTTGAAAGCAAGGAAGTCTGGTGAGTGGTCTCTTACTGGGTGGAAGATTATAATTCTGTGGGCCATGTGTCACATACTGCCTGGAAGCATGCAGTTGAGTATCTCAGGATGCTTTGGTGTGGAATGACAAGTGTCTCTGTTCTTGAAAGCCATTATCCTACCATCAAAGTAACATAAAAGGTGTTATAATTTTTAAAGTATAAATTTACTGTTTTGCACTAACTTATTTAAGATTTCAAGAAAAAATTAAATATGTACTTGTAGTTCACTGCAGTCTTGAAAACAATCTGTCAAGTCACATTGTATTACATATCACAATGACAGAGAACAAAGAATATTATAGTGGTGTATTTTATAAGGTTATACATATTTTTGTTTACTTCAGTGTATTTTTCCCTACAACTAATTTGTTTAATGACATTTCAGAGCAAGCAGTTTTCATTGAACTGATTACATGGATCAGACACCTCATACCTGTAAGATATAATCTACAGAATTAATGGATAGAAACAAAAATACAACTTTAAAATACATTTTGAAGGAGAAGAAAACATGCTTTGCTGAAATCTACTATGAAATGGTGACTCACTGAAGCAGAAAACTGCTTGCTTAGACAAGAAATGTCAGAAAGAGGCATCTTGTGCTTTCTCTCTGCTCAGAGGGGAGGACTGCACTGAATGGAATGAAAGTCAGAAAGGAAGTCCTTGGATAATGTTAAATTGGAATAAGACTTTTCAGGCAGAAAGACTATGCTCATGTCAAAGTAGTGACAAAATTTGAAGAAATATGGAATAGAAATGTCTTGACACAAGCCATACATTCTGCATTTTTCTTTTTCCAATTAGCAAGATTTTTTTACATTTCAGTTACTTTTGAATCAAACACACCTAGTTATTGTATTCGTGTTACTTTCTTTGTTGATTTGACTGACTTGGAGGACATGGAGACTGGGTGGTATAAATTCAGAGAGCCAGAGCAGATGCAAAGAATAGCGATCCTGGGTATTAAACAGCAAACAGCATTATATTGTGGGTATTTGCAAAGGTGGAAGTCAGCATAGAAAAAATGACATCAATAGAAAGACTGTAAGAGGGAGGGCTTACACCTAAAGCCACTAGAGATGATCTTGTTTCTTACAATGATAAAGAGACAAAACTTAAAATCTCTATGATTTGGGATGACAGTGTATTGAAGGATAGCATTTGGATTTTTTTTTTAAGTTCCTCAATAAATAGCGAAGTAGTTAAAAAAAAAAAGGCCGCTGAGTGTATCATTGCCAGAAACAGAACAAGAAATGCAGAGGAAGTTGGAAGAAGTGGTGGTGGATTTATCCAGACTGGGGTGGGAAGGCCTCTGATGGGGTGAGCCCTGAAGATATCCAGACAAGAGCCTTGGAGCAGAGGCATTATCCCCATGACGTGCATGGGGCAGCAAAGAGGCAAGAGTGGCCAGGGCAGGTGAACAAGGCAGGAAGAGGGTAGGCTGTGGGTGTTTGGCTAAGACGGTTGAACTGCAGGATGTGAAGGGAAATGAAGATGAGTAAGCTAGACCCATACATGTTACAATTACAAAAAAATGGGTACAAAGTCAATTTCATTGATCTTGTCACCAGATGAAGCTAGCATGTCTGGTTTTCTTATTTAATTGATCTGTGAAGCTTGGAATATGAATACAACTCTGGCAACATCTTAAGAAAAGAATAAAGTGATCTCACACACATATATGGATGATGGGGGCATAATTGATAGCAGCTGTTCAGTTCCAGTGTCACTAACACTATGATCCAGGACCTGCATGGCTAGAACTCTGTCACAGGACCTAGTCAGGGATGCATGCGAAGGTTAAGGTAGAAAGATTTCTCTTGCTGGCTGGGAAAAGTGGCACACACCTGTAATCCCAGCACTTGGGAGGCTGGGACAGAGGATCACCTTGAATTCGAGATCAGCCTGGACTACATAGTAAGTTCAAGGCCAACCTGAGCTCTACATAGTAAGAAGACCCTGACTCAAAACACCCTTCAACCCCGGGAGTCAGGGAGAGTTATATCTTGAGGGTTTTTTTTTTTAAAAAACTATTAACAGTAGAAAATTTTCCTGTCCTATATCAGTGACCAGTGTGATGGAACATTAAGCAGCTTTTTAAAATTTTTAATACTTAATATAGTAAAATAGTGAAATTATATATACTAGCATATATATTTTTCTTTTTATAATAAAATAATCTTAATTCTTTATTAATATAGTAGTACATGCTCATTGAAAAAGAATTTCTAATACATTAATATAGGAAAAAGAAACTGAAAAAAATCACACTTTACCAATATAAATAACTACTTGTACTTTTGTAGTTTGTATTTCCAGATAGTTCTATTACTATGCAGCTATTACTGCTTATTTCTATTAATATGGAATTTAAGATAATTTTAGACTTATACACACTTGTAATAAAAATACAGATAGATGCCAAGTGCCTTTTTTTTTTTTGAGACAGGGCCCACTCACTCTTCAGGATGGCTTTGAACTAGTGACAGGAGGATTACCACTACTTCCAGGCCAGCTTGAGCTACATAGTGAGTTGAAGATAGCCTAAACTATGTACCAAGACCTCATCTCAAAAAAACAAAAAATAAATAAAATAAATAAATAAAAGAAGGGAGCCCATTTTCTGTCAGTTCTAATATAAAGTATGAGACTTAGGTACAAGGTATTTTGTTTTATTTTGACCTACAAAGTTAATCTAACAACAGCTGTCATAAAGATCATCTTTCTACAAATTAAATTACTTTTGTACCTTTGTCAAAACTCCTGTGAGTCTATTTGTATGAATATCTTACTAGGTATTCTCTTCTTTTGGACAGATTCCACTGGTTTTTACCAGTACAGTTTTGATTACTGTGACTGTGTATAATCATTTTTATAGAATTAATCTTGATCAGTGATACTTCCATCATTTTATTAGCTGTATATACTATAAAATTTATTTCAATAATTAATTGATTTTATATTTGTGTTTTTAAGGTTTTTCGTATTACAAAGTAATTACCTGAACACATACTGCTACACATGGATCTTTTTGCTCTTTTCTAATTTCATACAGTAACCTACTCAAAGTAGAATAGCTCAGTGGGGTCATTTTTTCGTATTTTTATTAGTATATATTTGTGCTACATGGTACATACATTCATCTTGGGGAACTGGTACATATATGTATTGGGTCTTAATCCAGTTTACTCTCTTTTCTCCTGTTTGCCACACTCCCAGACCCACTTCCCATGTTCATAGCGTCTATTGCCTGTTTCCTATCATCTCTCTTTCATTTTGCTCTTATTTTTACTTTGGGTTTCTCATATATGAGAAACACAATATACTGTCCTGTGTCTATATTATCCTTCTGTTTCACTTAGCATTAGAGTCTCTTGAAGTTGTATTTTTCACATTGAAGTCATCTGCAATTTCTTTATATATGTGGAAATGAGGTGGAAATCAAGGTTTATGTTCTCATTGTGTTATGCCTATTATTCTAGGAGGGTTCCCTGGATTCTCTGCCTGCATAGCTATCATCTATATTGATAACTCAATCATATATGAGAAGAAGGAAGGAAGTGAAAGGGGAAAGAGAAAGAGAGAAAAGGGGGAAAAAAGGACTTGGGGTTATTTCTGGTCTCTGTATTCTATTGATATATTTACCTGTACCTATGGTATCATGTTTTAATTGCCAAAGCTTTATAATAAGACTTTGGGATGAGCAAAGGATGAATAAGGTTAATCTCTTTCTACTTTTCTTGTTCTCATCACAGGTCTAATTTGTCACATTCTGTGGAAAGATGTATAGGGATTTTTAAGGAGTGTGTTCAACTTGGGCTAGGCATGTAGCTCAGTGATAGAGTGCTTGCCTAGGGTGGTGAAGCTCTGGGTTGGGTCCCTAATAACATACCACAAAAGAAAAAGAAAATGTGTTCAACTGGTAGATCACTGGCTAAATTGACACTTTTGAGATAATTAATGTTTGTATCAGACAAACCTAGGCTTCTGGGCGTGGTGGTAGATGCTTGTAATTCAAAGTCTCTGAGAAGTGAGGTAAAGAGTGGCAAGTTTAAGCCTGGGCCATTCGACAAGTTAGTGAGACCTTGTTTCACCATAGTTAAGGATGTAGCTCCGTGTAAAGGTGCTGAATTAATCTCCAGTACCATTAAAAAGAAGAAGAAAAAAGGATCCTAGGCTATCTTTCAGATCATTAATACACTTTCCCCATGAACATCTCACATGTTTTTGTTTAACATATTTTTAGTACCTTGTGGTTTTGGTTGCTATTATAAGTGAACTATTATTTTCATTTAAAAAAATCTCTTCTCATCTTTTCATTCTGTAATGGTTTCTTGGTCTCTGTTTTTATGAAATTTCCTTTCTTAATAAATTTAATTCTTTTAGAGCAGATTTAGGGTCACAGCAAAATTGAGTGCAAAGTACAAGGATTTCTCAAATGCTCCCTTCCCTACACATGTTGTGTCCCTCACTGTGGACATCCTAGACCAATGTGGAACATGTCTTACAATTGATAAGCCTATATTGACACGTTGTTGTCTTTTAGGTTCATAGTTCACATTAGAGCTCACCTTGATTTTGTACATTCTGTGAGTTTGGAGAAATGTGTGATGGTGTGCATCCACGGTGTTATAGCATCATAGATACAGAAAGTAGTTTTGCTCCCCTACGAATCCTCTCTGTAGGCTGCGAGAATAGCTGAGTGGTAGAGCACTTCCTAACGTGTAAGGCTCTGGATTCACTACCCCACCACCGCTGACTTTTTAATCTGTCTATGTAATGTTACCTTTTCCGTAATGTCATATAGTTGGAATTGTACCATGTGTAATCTTTTTAGACTGTGTTAATCACCTTAGTGGGACAAAATACTCCGCCTGACCATTCAAAGGAGGAAAAGTGTATGGTGGCTCACCTTTTAGAAGTGTCATTCCTGCATGATCTGCTGGCTGCAGGCAGAGGGTCTGGTGGAGGAAAGCTGC